CCTTCTGATAATGGATTCGAATATAAACAACAGATAATTGACTGTCCAAATCGAATCGAGCAAGTCATATGCCACAGTCTCTATTTTTTCCAATATAATCCATGGATAAGTCGTTCTACAATTGTTGACACTCGACAAGAAACAGATGTCATTCAAGATTTAGTCAATGATAATCTACATATCAGTGTTTGTTAATGACTTCCATTCTACACATAGTTTATCAGATGAGAAAAAAAGATATCATACACAACAAATAGTATAGATTTGTATTAGAACAACGCAAAACTAAATACATAAAATATAGTTCTTCATTTTGATTATAATCCATTGACACCTATCTACGTGATCTTACTGAATTAGATTTATAACTGCTCTAACATTTATCTGAATATTACTATTTCAGGTATGATAATAGCCAAGCTAGTTAATACCATGTCTAATCATAATCGAATATGTATTGTGAAAATACATGTGAATATTTCGATTAGCTGCTCCAATAGATAGATTTTGTATAATTCCACTAAAAATCTGACATAAGATATCTGTACATGACTATTTCATCTCTTATAATTTTTTTTTGAAATTGAAATTAAAGTTTACCAAGTCCATGAAAGGTTCCAAGCCACATATCATTTAATTGTATGCCAGGTAATATACTACTAATTCGATGACGCATTTCAAGTGCAGCTTTATTTGTAAATGTAACAGCAAATATTTGATATGGTTTAACATCACAATTATTTAATAAATAAGCAATACGAGATGTTAATACACGAGTTTTTCCACTACCTTGAATGATAAGAATTTTAGAAGAAAAAAGCAGAAATAAACAAAACAAACCAGCTCCACTAAGAACAAGTGTTGATTGATTTGTTGGGCAAGTAACAGCGCGTTTTTGTTCAGAATTAAGATCATGTAAAAATTTATCATCATTTATTTCATTTGTTTTTATATCAGTAGTAACAGTAGTAGTTGTAGTAGTAGATATTACTGTAGTTTTCTTTTTTCGATACATATCTACTTGTTCTACAATCAAAAGAAGAAAATGCTGCTTTCTTTACCTGTAAGTATCTTTTTCGAATGTATTTAATTTATCAGTTGTTATTCAAATTTATCAGTACGAAAATTTATAATTCTAACATTGATCATGTTCATTTTTTTTTCTCTATTTCATCAGAAATCATCTTTATTCTGGTCGCTCATCATCATCATCATCAAAAAAAAAGTACGACGTTCATACGTATAGTGAAGAAGGAGAAAAAAAAACAACGAATAAGATAATATGCTTTATATGTGATGAAAAACGAAGCCAATAGACATATAGCAAAAACAAAACACACACATATAAATGAATCGCGAAAAAGAAAAGAAGAAACATGAAAGGTTGTCTATGAAAAAGAAAAAAAAACAATCAATTGTCATTACAAAACAACATATATTACTAATAAAAAGTTAGTAATTTCATGTAATGTCTATGACAAATGTGAATAAAAAACAAATACCATCACCACAATCAACATGACAAGAAAAAAAAAGAAAGAAGAACATAGAATAACAATGATTTGCTCATGGATCTACACCGGTTATTGAAAAAAGAAAAACCAAACAAACAGCTGGATTGAGCAGACAAGAGAATACACTCGGATGAGAAAAGAAAAGAAAGAATGAAAAAAAGAGAGCTATTGCGCGCACATAAAACAGTCAAAAGAGAAAAAAAGAAGAGAAAAAAAAAGAAGGTGTTCTTATTTTTGTTCAAAAAAAAACAGAAAAACAAATGTTTAATCACGACGATAAAATAGTAAATAAGGCGTAAGTTTATCAAATGTTGGATTAATAACTTGATTTGATGTAACAACATGAACATTTCCATCATCAAATCTTACCCATCCTTGAAGACCTGGATGAAATACATCAGTTATATAATGTCCTTTAGTTGCTTGATCACCTTGATGATATTCAACAGCAAATAATTTATATCGATCTTGATATTGTTTTCGAGCTTGTTCAGTTAATATATCTTAAATGAGAAAAAGATTTTTATAATTAATTGAATTTTATATTTTAAATCAAAATTACTTTTTGGTAATGTTAAATTAACGGTATAATTTAAAGATTTATTTATTTTTTTAATTCCATCTGTTTCATCATAGACAAAACATTTTAAATGAATAATAAGTATAGGTGGTAAATGTTCAATTAACATTGTTTTATTTGTATGGATCTAACAAAAATGTATCATTTAAAATTTATATTATTCGATATATTTTGTACAACTTACATTTTGACGATTTTTACTATCAACATAATCGGAAAGTGCTGATTGTTCACAGAAACGTAGAAGAGCATCATCTAGTGTAATTATTTTTGGGTCCTAAAATAAAGTAAAAATAAGTCTCAATTCATAATTTAAAGAATGTAGACATTTTCATGATAGAAACTATTGGGCATAGATAGTATGTTAATATTCTTCCATTTGTAAAAAAAAATACAGAGTACATTCCTATGCATAGAATCTCATTCAAGAAATATTTTAGAGTTATGACTTACAAAAGGAATGAATATACAAATCCTAGTCATGTTAAAACAGAGATGGGCAACTCCAACTCCATCGATTTTTTACGGCTCCACTTCAACTCCAACTCCAGGTAAAAAGCGTCAACCCCAGGGTTTGAGTTGCCCATCTGTGTTAAAATAAAGTACGATGCATTCGGGTTTGCGAATATTAATAGTTTTGAGCTAGACAGTACTCAGAGAGTTGTGTATGTCATCAGTAGCTAGCAAAAATAGTTCTAGAAGTATATTATACGTACTTTAATATCGAGTGAAAGGGTGAAAAATGGTTCATGTACGACTGATTTTTGATTTCCAGAACTATGTACTGTTGAACGAAATTTTCCAGCAAATATATCAGCAATAAGACTTTTTCGAATTTCATTCTACAAAAAAAATGAAAGAAGGATTGTTTCAAAAAGAAAAATAATATGATAATTACCGTTCGTAAAACATGTGTACGATTACGTTTTCCAACTTGAAGCCAATCTTCAGATTTTTCCTCACCATTTAATTGTAAATCAGTTGTTAATGTTGATAAATCTGAACTTGAAGTAGATTCTTCTAAAATAAAAATAAACAAATAAACATAATTGAATTTTTTTCTTCTTAATTATTTTACCATTTTTATTCGTTGATGCATTATATAAAATTTGACAAATTTCATCATGTAATTCACTTAATAATTGACATAATAATTCATGTGCATCTTCTTGTTTAGTTTTTATTATTTCAACAGGTATATGACGAAGACGAGATAATTCTTGAAGAACATTAAGTGGTTCAAATGATGGGCCACATATAATATCTTTATGATTTGAATTTGATTTACTTCGATCCATTTTTTCAAATTGATTAACAAATGAATGTCTAATTAAAGAAATAATTTTTGTTTATACGTATATATATTTAATTTACTTACAGAGCTCTAATACATGGAACATTATGATTATCTGTATCTTCATTGAGTGGGATATATTTCATTACATTAAAGAAAGCAGGACAAGCAAGAAGTGATTGAAGAGTCTAGAAAAAAAAAGAAATATGAATTAAAATAATATTCGAAATTGTTGTATAGTATAAATACGAGTTTATTTAGTGGATCAGACACTCTACTTTAGTTTTTGACATGAGTATATAGTGAACAGACTAACGACGATGGGAAATAGGAAATTTACAGTACTGATTGATGATAATTGCTAACAGTTGTGCAAGTTCCGTAAATTAAGCATGTGTGCAAAACAAAACTTCCGGTAGAAATGTTTTCCGACTAGGCAAGTGATATAAAAGTTCAGTAATAATTAACTTTAGATATGCACGGATAGTATTATCAAATGAACTTAACGTCTATAGAGATTCTAACATTAAAAGAATTACGAAAAATGGTATTATGTTTTGCTCAACAAAACCCGAATTATTTAAATCTCTTTTATGAATACAATCTATCTTATGCATTTTTTACTCGTATAAGTTTCAAATATGGAAAAATCTTATATTGTTTGCAAGTGTAGAGAAGAATCTTTAGATTATGTTATAATTAAATATGAATTTCTTTTTTTGTATACGTACAGCATTAACGTAACAGTAGTTACTTTTATTCATTAATCCACGAGGTTTAATAGCCATAGCTGATGGACGTAATTCACATTTAGAAAAATAATCTATATACAAAAACAAATATTGTACAGAATTATATTAAAAATATTTTTCTTACCTTCTAATGATCTTGAGTCTTCTCCGTTGCTATTATAAACATGATAATTTGTTTTTGAATAGAAACTATTCGTTGCGTTATTTTTTCCATTTTGTTGTGGTACTGCTGCTGCTGTTGGAACTTTTTGAATAGGACTAGATTGTTGTGCGGCATTAGTTGCTGTTGTTGTTGTTGCTGCTGCTGCTGTTGTTGAGGATGATGGTTGTGTTGAAGTTGGATTAGGTTGGTTACCACGGAATAAATCTGCCCATGATACTGGTTTAGATTTCATTGATGATGAGAGATTATCTGATGAAGGTTTTAATGTTTCAATTGAAGCTCCACTAGCAACAGATGTTGAATAAATAGATAGATCATTATTATTATTATTATTTAATAATGTTTTATTAATTGATATATTTTGTGGATGATCACTATCATTATCTGTATCAGTTGTTGTGTCATGAGCTAAAATTTAACATTCGTTTTCTTTTCTTTTTTTATTAATTTAAAAACTTACTATCTGATTCAATTTCATCTTCATCATTCGTTGATTGTTTATCATCATGTTGATGTTGTCTTGTTGAATCAATCCATTGTACACATGACATATATTTAGGATCATTAGTATTTTGTTCTATATTTGGTGTTTGTTCTTTAATATCATTAGATTTTTGTTGTTGAAGTGTTGCTGGTTCAAGCATTTGTTGATATTCTTGTGTATAATAATTAGGTGGACGTTTTTTCTTTAATTTTCTATCACTATCATGACGATTATGTGATGATGATGATGATTGTTTTTTTATTTTAACATTTTCAATTGATGAACTTTTTGATGAATAGGGAGGAGATGTTAAAGCAGAATTTGTTGATTCTTGATGAGATAAACTACCATTACATGAATAAACTACACCAACACCGCCTGCTGGTGATATTACTGATGGAACATCAAAACCAAATTCAATAGTAGTATTTGTACAATCTTCTGTACCCCATGGAAACTAGAATAAATAAAATTAATAAGAAAAAATTTGTAAATAATTTAATAAAAATTACTTTAACTCCTTGTTTATCATGACCAAAGAGTTTGTCGGCTTCTTGTTCAGAAAAATCACCAAAAACAAAATCCTTTTGAACAAAAAAAAAATATTTTTATTTTCTAAGAATTCATTAAACTTACAGCCATTATGAATTAAAACGAAAAAAAGAAGAAGAAATTTTCTAATCACGAAATATTGATGATCATGAGTAATGCCTGAGAATAGTCATCTAAAATAAATTTATTGCGTCGTTTAATTTCATATGTACAAAAACAATAATAAGATGTTATTACACAAACATAGATTCAGTTGGATTAAGAATATTAATAATAATAATCACTATCACTATAGGAAAATACGTTTTTTTCTCTCTCCTTGTTTATTTGTTTCTTTTTCATCCTGTTGTCGAGTCCATCTATTCGTTCGATTAACTCCGGTATTTTATATAGACCAATGATGAATTATTTTCAATAGAAATATTTTCCTCTTTGTTATTGAAATATAAGATTTAATAAATAAAAAAAATCAATTTTTTATCTATTGAATTATTTGAGAATAATTGTTTTTAATTCATTTCTTAAATTTGTTTTACAAATATTAAAACGATGACATCTATAGATGTCAATAACAGAACATCTTATCTGAATATTAAACAATCGACGTAATATGATTCAAATAGAAGAAATTATCTTGACAATTATTATTTCAATTCTGCGAGAATAAAAAAATATTAAATCGAGATGGATCATAGTCAGAGAATTGTGCTGAATTGAATTTTATGAGTATATTTGGTTTTATCATTAGCAGTACTTGCTGTAAAAATTCGTCGTTGTCTCTAGATATATCTATCATACTATTCATTCAGATACTGAAATATGGACATCGTATATTTCTTTTGTACATAAATTGAGCAATTCATTTCGTAATTCGATCGTTGATCTCGATGTATTACTTCGGCAAGGCCGTTCGGTTGAAGAATCATCTTCTCTCCGCTTAATTTCTTCATATTCATGTTGATGCATGCTTTTAATCAATCAGTTATATATACGAATAGAGTATACAATGAATTTATTTATTAGAATAAGACAAAGGTTTCATTAACCGTCAATGAACTATCTACATGTGTGTAGTTTAGATATCGATTTCGTGTCTCTTTGAATCAATAATATCTGATATGTAACTGTTTCATTCTTGTATTAATATAATTTATTATATTTGAAAATAAATTAATCTTCTCTTCTATCGATAATACATAACATCGTTCAAGTGCATCGTATAAATATAATATTTTAAATGAAATTCATGGTTAGAGGTCATCAAGTCCAATTTCCTATTCTCCGAATCTAATATTCACTTCGACGAGACAAGATGTTTTTTCTTTTATTATTTGTATTCGACAACTAGCGGTTTTTAGACAATGATCTTCTAGTAATTATATTATAGATAAGTCAAATAACATTCGTCATCCAGTTCTATTAAATTGATCGTTTGAAAATTTGAATTTTGTATATAAAATTAAATATAGTGTTTAATAAAATTGATTTTTGCTATTTTTTTTTATCTTTCACTCACGTTTTTATACACATCGAGCTTTACAAAAACCAACGAAACAACTCATGTGCATGTGAAAACTAGGAAAAAATATGACAGACATACAAACACACAAGAAAATATATAAAAAAAAAGAGAGACAAGAGATAAGTATTATTATTATTATGATTAGAGTGTGTATGTGTTGTGTGAGAATTCGAATGATCGATTTTTTTTTCTCAACATTAATATATATTTTCTAGTCATCATCATACACTCTATTTTGTTCTTTTGCTTGACATTAGATTCTTTTCACCGGTTTCAATTTTTAGTTGAAAGAAGGATTAAGCAGATGATAAATAGACAAACAAAATGAAAAAAAAAAGAAAAAGAAAAAAAGAAGAAGGAAAATGCATTCTTTCGGATGTCATGTAAAACGACTGTCACGTTTAAGAATGCTTTGCACAATATCTACAGAAAATAAATCGACGAATTATATTTGATAGATTAAGGAAATATGAAAAAAAAACAAAAACCGGTTAATTACACCTATTGATTATGCATATCTAAAATGAAAAATATTTATTGTTTTTTAATATTAATTATTATAAAAGAAATCTTACCAACAACTGGTCTTTTAAGCACCGTACGTAAAATTGATGTTGTTGGTTCATTTTGTGAAAACAATTGATGATGATCATCAATCATTCCATGATGATGATGAACAAGAGTTGAAAGATCATTATCATCATCGTCATCATCATCATTTTCTCTATCAAAATCATTTAATTGAAATAATGTTTCAATATCTGAATGATGTTGATGATGATGACTATAAAGTGTTAATGTTCCATTCGAATTTTGATGAAAATAACCACCGGTTAATAATGAAGAATTTTTTTGTGGATAAGAATAACTTGATGATGATGAAGCTGATGAAGATGATGATGCTAAATTATTATTTGTCGTTAATATTGGTGGTGATAGGGATGATGATGATGAATGTGAGGATGTTGAATGAACACGTGTATATATATGTTGATCATCATTTGGATCAATTTGTTGCTGTTGCTGCTGCTGCTGCTGCTGCTGTTGTTGCTGTTGTTGTAATGAATATGTTAATCCATTATGGGTATGATAGGAATCTATTGGAAGAAGATGATGATCATTAAGCACCGGTTGTTGATGATAATAGTCATGATTAGAACCGGGATCATAATTTGATCCATGATGATGTTGATAAAGTGTATGTGGTTGATGATG